GGGGGGGGGGTTATTATTAAGCTTCTCGTTCCATTCGACCGGTCTAGATCTAGAATCTATCTAATCTAGATCTAGATCTAGATCTAGATCTAGATCTAATCAAAACACTCGAAATATAAATCTACAAGAACTTTTTTTTTTACACGGGAGTCAAAAGTGACCATGCACACTTGCATCAACTGGAATGAGACCCAGCGTCTATGCCTATTTAAAACTTCTGAAATCTCGATTCAACATTGCAAAGAATCTCCAAGGAAATTATCATAACAAGGGGTAAAGGGGCGTGGCCGACCGACTGTTTGTCGAGTCATGACAATCTTCTGACTTGTAGGCCTATTCGTAGGCACGGTCGAGATAAAAACAATCAATCAAATATCAGATCAAACTCATTCTACACTGATAGTCAACATTAACCACTGATCTATGACATATCAAGGTATCATATCACGATAATAAAGCTTAAACTGAAACGTATGGCCTTCAAAACTGAACATCCAGTTGTGGCAACAGGTTGGTGATATAAGGCAAATTGAGGCACTATTAAAAATTACTTTCAAAGAATTTAAAAATTGTGAAGGAAATCAATACATACCCTTTGTGAAACTTGGAATATATTTTGAAGTTCGGTCCCGATAATGGCGAATTTAATCATAGTATTAGAATTAATACCAAGTTGTGTACACGGAATAAAAATGCCCCCAGACAGAGCCCCTCGAGAATGCCTCGAGGATCGTGGCGGCCGCCGCTGGGGCTGTTTTGTAGAATCATCACCCGACACATCAAGTTCCAAATCAGAAAACAGAGGATCAGTACTGTTTATAATCCGATCATATTCTAGTGCACTGGAATCATTAGGTTGTAAAGGATTTCCTCCTTCAGGTTCTGGCCTTCTTGATGATTGTTTTTTAACTTTCTTTTCACTTTTATCACCTTTGACGGAAGTTTTTGAACTTTTCTTGCGTTTGCTTGTAGAGTTGGCATCACAGTCCACGGCTTCACTACCATCGTTTCCAAGGCCATCTGTATGCCTTGATCCTGAAGATTTTTCTCTTTTCGATTTCTTCTTTTTCTTTTTATCTGAATGTCTACTATGTGTGGTTGGTGGGCAAGCTGCAGATGTCTCACCGTCTGCTGACCCTTGCGAGAGATGATAGCCAACAGCTGACGTCTGTGAATCTTGCGATAAGTGTGAGCTGTCGGCATCATCTGGTTCCGAGTAACCACGATTGTCCATAACAAGGCGTTCACTTGAGGCCCTCTCGAAGTTCCCTTGTTCATCAGCACAGTTTGAGAGTCCCTGCAGGAGAGGGCACACGTTTCAGGCTCAGTTTACTTTACATTCTACACGTGGAAATGTTGTGACTACCTCGACGAAGGGAGATCACAACCACAACAACCGGAAGATAAAAATAGAAACGAAAGCGGAGGGGCACACGCCAGGTACTGGCACAGCCGAGGTTCCCGGCAAGCGGGCCTACGCCGCAGATTCCTCGCGTTGCATTCCAAATACGGGATGATGACGTCACTCATTGTTTTGTTGCGATGTTTCCGCCTGCACAGCAGAAAAGCGGAAAAGAAAGTACTTGGGATGGGAAATGGGATGGGAGAGGACAGACCGGAATAAGCCACCAAGTTTACTTTCTGTTTTAATTAATATTATATTATAATAAAGATATAGACACACAGATTCACTATTTACTCGGCCTTTGAAAATGACCAGGCCTGGACATGATCCGACAATGTTCTGAGAATGGGTAAAGGTGGGAAGAGGGGGGGGTTGGAAGTGGTCATGAGTGTTCAGTTGCAACCACGCCTTTTCCAAGTGTGTACATAATACAGGCTACTTCAGTTACTTCTTGGCGCCGCTTAGCGAAGTCGGACACGATCTGCAATAAAATATTGACTGGAGCAGCACCAAATCAATTTTGTCCGATGAAAGATAGCCTAGACTTGTGTTTAAAAGTTTTCCGTCACCGACTCGAACGAAAAGTAATCTAACGCGTGTTGAAGGCGCATGGTCTTTTCTTTTGCATTGCGAATTTTCGCGTGTGGTTGACACCGGGTTGTAAGTGATACACGAGGCAAAGTGTCATGTGATATTTGCAATCCAACGTTGTCCGTAAATTTTGCTGAGCAATGTTTCCTTATGGACACAGGATTTGGATCAAGCCAAAAAGAATTTCATCAATCATTTCACTAACGAAATTAAAGCCGTTCTCATTTTTTAAAAAGCACTTTATACTACAAGTGTTTGGTCAAGTTAAGTGTTACCGCGCTACACTGAATAATTTTTTGACCCACTATTTCTCACAATATTACTGCTATGTTTACTTAACAAATAACTACAGAAAAGCTTTTTTCTCCATGTTCATTATTGTACATTATGTAAAACTTAGACGGTGCACTGGTACCCGCCTCATTAAAATTCAGTCCGTATGATGTAGGGACTGGCCCTGTGAGGGTCGCTTTTTCAACCCCCGACGGAACATTATTTAAAATCTTGTGGCGTTATGTTAATTTTTACGACTTTCCACTCTCTAGCAAGACCCCAACCCCATGGGAACAGAAATTAAACCGGTGGTCCCGCCGCTTTACTTATCATAACGCATTGAAAGGAGAATCACACCCATCCCGTGAAATACTTTGCACACTGCAATAATACCATATAATTTAATATTATGTCCATTCTCAAATTGATACAGAATGCAAAAAACATTTATTTTACTGACTATAGCACCGGTAGAACTGTTTGTTTTACTCGTAAAGAAACACTCAAAGTTATCTTTCCAGTTCGCATCGCAGAACACGTAGTTTAATTTACGAGTAAGCCTACTGGATGCAAATCTGGCTATTCGTAAATGGTAAGTGTTTTTAGAAAGGATTTTGTAAAACTTTTCGCCCTATTGGAAACGAATGCGTAAATTCGAAGGAGAGCTCAATTCTGCGGGGTCTGGGATGTTTTTTCCTTTTTTCTAAGACTCGGTCTGTAGAGTGGCATGGTTGAAAGCTGGTTAGAAGACATAGGGCCAAGTGTGTGGCATGGGTACAGTAAAACAATCCAACCCATTAGGTGAGGAGAACACCCAACAGCGGATGTGATGCACTCGTGGTGGTAGAGAGAAAAGTTTATACCTTCCGTCTAGCACGGCTCAAAACGACATGATTTACGAGCTGATACGTCTAATTTTTCTTTCTATAAAAAACAAAAGGGGGAGTCAAGGGCGAGGTTTGAGTTAAACCCTTCATTCATTTAGAACAAGGCACGCATAGAGATGTTAACACGCACTCTACAACCTCAGTAGGCTTATTTAGATCTATGGGTTTATAACAGTCTGCTGTCTAGGCTACGTCTACTTTGAATAGTATGTAAAATAAACCCATGGCCTTCTCATTGTATTACTATTACTGACTTTGTAAGGCGTGTCCAACGTGCATGGGTTCTCATCCTCATAGTTATAGGCCCGACTGGTCATTTGGCACTTTATAAAGCAAAAACAAAACTGAACCAAAAAAAAGAAGAAAAAACCTACAACAAAACAAAACACAACAACAAACAAAAACCAAACGCAAGCCCACAAGGGAATCAATAAATTATTGATTGGAGTGTACAATTAATTCTTCTGTGGCACAGTGTCCTGCAAAGGCTTGATGGGCTCTTCTGCATTGAGTTCGAGAGCTCGTTACGGCCTCGGGTTTCTTTAAACTCTGTTCGCAACAGCAAACAGTTATCAACAAGGGTAGGGGATGTTACGTACAATTGTATTATGATACTGCCGTAAAGGCCAGGGAACTGGACACGACAATCACTCACTGGGATTTTGTAAGAGAATGAGACAATTTTGCGAAGGCCTATGTATCTTCGCCCAAACATGTACATACATTGAGAGGAGAAATAACACAAACACACACACACACACACACACACACACACACACACACACACACACACACATACACATAAATGATAGACAACGAGACAGACAAAAACACACTATATACATTATTTTTAAAATATGATACATAGATCTACAGGCACATTCACGCACACACACCACATGCGTTGGAAAAGAAAGCGTAACTTTCTGTAAGCCGAGACATGCGAACGGTACAATTGATTGCTAAAGAACTGTGGCTATTGTAAGTTTTACAGATAGATCTACATATTACATAGCCCATGTTTACTTGAAATACACGTCTAGATTGGCAGCCATGCTCTACTGAAGATTACAACACGATAAGACACGTCTGTTTTGAAGCAATTTTGGAAAGTATGCCATGAGCTGGAAGACGTATGTACGGCATGAAGATGACTTCGGAAAGAATACAGAACCCTCTCTGCAAAGGAGCAAGAAAGTAGATTAAAAAAGCAGCTGTAAACAATGCAGTAGTGCGGGTAGCGAATGACTGGCAACAAGACAAAGCTTGTGCAATCGAATTTGATAGGAAACTACATGTACTTTCTCAGAAGGAGATTTGATATCTGACTGCTGAAATACTGTCTTTAAAATGTATACTCATGGCGAAAATCTGGGGAGATAGATCTAGCTCGTGGAAATCAAACCTTTATCTTTTCAAGTCAACACAGTTTTGGGCTCTAAATTCTCTAATTCAAATTGGAGAGATAGTCGGTGGAAATCCATGACACCAGTATAGCCAATGACAGCAGGAACTTAATTCTACCATCTATAGTTTTGCACGTACTGCTACACTCATTTTAACTCAGTTTCAGTCTTTTTATAAAACGTTTTAGGGGATATTACACACCAGTCAAATAACGAATTCTCGATGTATTAACTACTACCGCACATTACATCAGTAATACTCATGCTAAGGTGATGAAACAGTAAAGATATTTGAGACAATCTGTTGTTTGCATCTTTTTTCTATGAGTTTGTTTACTTCCATTTGTATAGCGTTTATGAGACAGGGATATTGTTTCATAATTCATAACACACTGGAAAACCATCCACCCATCTACTGGTCTTCCATGTTTTTATTGGGTTTATTAGGAAGAACGGGTAAGAGTTACAAATGTGGCTTGTTTTGTGCGTGTGTGTGTG